TCATGTGCTGGCAGACGGCAGAGGATAAGACAGTGTGGACAACTCTCAGCACATCTTGAAATGTTAACCATAACATATGCACCTTTCCACTATAAAGAAGCATTTCCTCCACAGTGCTATGTTTTGATGAAGCACTAAATTAGCTTGTCTAAACATTGTATCCCCATCTGCTGATGACTGCTCTCTTTACTGGCAATTTACTAATTTTGCTTTGTATCAAACTCAGCAGAGAAGCAAGTGGGATGTATCTCCAGTGCTTCTGCTGTTAAACTGTGGTGCTGTGATACAACTTGATGAGATACTTGTTGTTTGGCAGTAAGTACGTACCTTGGACAGAAGATGGATAAATTGTGAAATTTTACTTCTGAACCTACAGCATAAATACCAACATATCTGTGTGCTTCTAGGAGCTGGGGCATCAGTTGTGCCCTCAGGACTTGCTCATGGAAGTCAAAGGGCATCTGAAGTCGGCTTCCAAGTAGCTCCTACACTTCACTGTCAGATAATTTTACTCAACATTGTTTTTTATTTCCAGGTGTTTCTGGAAATTTCACCTATTTCCAGGTGTTCCTATGTGTTAGAATGCAACTACCTCACTCTGAAATTCTCTGTGCCAAGAGCCAGACTTAGGCTGAAGTTATTCAAAACTGTTGCGATGAAGATGAGATGGAGAATATAGGACTGTCAGGGGAGGCTCTGCAATGCAGAATAAAGGAATGGGGAAGGACAGTCCTTGTGGAGTCTGTGTGCTGGGAAGTCTGGTCTGTAAAATCGCAGTCCTGGGATTCTGTTTTCCTTGATTAACCAGGGTAAGATCCTACCAAATCGACCAATTATTCTCTTTGCCCAAGTGGAGGAGGCCCGTGCTATTGTAAGAACTAATTTAATGCAGTTATGGAGTGAAAGTGGTGCTATGCAGCAGATCTGCGGGGGTTAAAGTGTATTTTAGAGTACTAAAATAACTGAAAAAACTTCCAAAATCATGTAACTACTGTATGTGTAGAAGGGGGAAGGCAAGTTTTCACTGAACTACAAGTGGTAATTGAGGAAGTTTCTTGAGTCCTTCCTTTTGTGACTTTGATGTCCTGCAAAATGGGCTGTTCAGAAATGCTCACACTGAAAATATTGGAAAAAAAAAAAAAAAAAAAAAAAAAAAAAGTTACTATGTGAAATGCAATGAGTAGAAAGATGGAATAACCCCAGTGCTAACTGGGCAAAGCTTGAATTGTTTTTGTACTTATTTTGAATTGATGGCAAAGCTTGAATTGTTTTTGTACTTAAAAAAAGAGAAAAGAGAGTGATGGAGGATAATGACCTTAAGTTGCACCAGGGGAGGTTCCAGTTGGATGTTATGAAAAATTTCTTCTTAGTAAGAGTGTTGAGGCAGTGGAACGGGTTGTCCAGGGAGGTGGTGGAGGTCCCTGGAGGTATTCAAGAAACGTGTAGATCTGGCAGTTAGGTGCATGGTTTAGTGGGCATGATTCTGATGGGTGGAGAGTTGGACTAGGTGATCTTGGGTGTGTTTTCCAACATTTATGATTCTGTGCAAAAAAAAAAAGCTGAGAATGGATGAGAAGATGACGCTAAACAAAACACTGAACGTAATTCATAACCTTAGCTGTCATTTTCCTGCAGTGAAATTGGTGTGTACTGAATGTTAAAGGATTAAATCCTCCCTAACTTTTGTCTATGTAGAAACAAAAATAGTTGCAGCAATGGTAGTTATGTGACATGCAAGGCAGGACCAGAGGATGACTTCTTGTTTGAAAAGCTGAACGGTGGGTTGGAAACAACAGTGCAAGGAATGGGGTAGGCAGTAGAATTTCTATGATGAGGGAAAGGGGTGGTTGTGAGTCAGTCTGCTCCTGGGGGGAAAGCATCCCAGAGTGGGTATCAGGTTTGAACCGAGCTGCGAATTGAACTAGTCAAGAAAAGGTTAGTGGCAGGAAGGTAATATATGCATTATCAGCATATCGTGATGTCTGGAGGCCTTTGCTTACAGAACAGCCATGATACACCTTGCTTTTTATGGCTCTGTACTTTGCCCGCCTATCCTTCTCTCTTTGTCAAAAATGTTAATTCATCATTGATATGAAAATAGGTGTATGATAAAAAGAGTGTTTAGGAACAAAGGGCATTTTGCATTAAGATATAATTAAGAATGCTGTTTAGTTGATTGTGTGTCTTGCAGCCTTTTAGGATATGATTTATACCTCCAAAGAGTAAGCATTCTATTAAACCCTACATTTCTCTTCAAAAATACTTTGTTATGATAATTATGTTCTGTTTCTGGCTTTGGTGATTTAATGGGCTTCTTTTTAACAAGTATCACACCACTGCATTTCATGTGTTAGTATGCTGTTGAACACAAAAGGCAAATTTGGACCATGATCAGATCCTTCACTGAGAGGAGTTCAGTGTTAAAATCAAATGAAAAAAAAAAGGCTGCAGTTGTTAAGTACTGTAGCTTAAAAGTCCATTCTTCTGTTGCTAACTGTGTTTGGTCCACACACAACCATTTGGTTTTTCCAGTAGAAGACTGGCAACCAGTTCCATCAAAAGTTGGCTCTTGTGCAAGTGAGAAAAGCAGAGTTGCTAAGGTGAAGGGTGTAGGCGAGGCTGCTGTGCTGATGGAAAACTTACAGGAGCCTAATTTGCTGCTTTTCTGTTTTGAATGTAGTTTAATTGTCTTTAGAATTACATTTTCTAATGAGCAAAGGAGTGTATCTGTGGCAGAGATATGAGGATTTTACATTGTAATTGTACTTTTGTCTAACTTAGTTAACAAAGTTTACAATCACTTTTTCTGTTGACAAGTATGGTAAGATCAGAAGATTTTGCCCTTTTTCTATTTGCCTATCATAGTAGGTGCTCATAGGTGGCGTAACTGTGATATCTGCATTTTCATGTGACACCTTAATCATGTAAGGCATTCCTCAGATGTGATGTAAACAAAGGATGACTGAAGAGCAGTGATTCTGAATATAATATAAAAATGTCAGTTGGATTAGAGAAAAGGCTGTGTTTAGGGGAGTGTTACTGGCCAGTAGTGAACAGGGAAGCAAAGTGAGCTGTACGTGTGCTTAACACAAAGTGATACGTGGAGGACTGTGTGGGCCGTAAGATCAGTGTTGGTATTAACGTTGTTCTATTTAGTAAAATAGTGCAGTAAAATTTACTCACTGTAAAATTATGAATTTTTGTTTGCTAGCTTATTTTCTGGAAATACACTGTGAGTCTCCTTTGTAAGTCAAGATTGAAAGGGCTGAGGGGCTCTAGTTTGCTTTTTGTTTGTTATGAGATGTGAGTCTGCTGGTAGCTGGCAGCTTCTGTTTTCAGCTGTGTGAGTTTGTCCTGCTCTGCATCGGTTAGTGATTCCATTTTATGGTCTCCAGGAAGTCATTTGTTTCCTCTGGTGTGTACTCATGAAGGAAACGTGAACTATGTTTCTGTACTTGTTTATAGTGGTTATTGTGGAAACAGCAAGGTGTTTCGTCAGTTCTTGCAGTCTTGTTCTGTTCCACATATCACTGCTACAGATAAGGAGTTAGGTAAGGCTAAAGAAGTCTTAAGTGGAAGGGACCCTAAGGATCATGGAGTCCAGCTCCTGGCTTTACACAGCACCACCCGAAATCCAGGCCCTGTGTCTGAGAGCGCTTCCAAACGCTCCCTGAGCTCCAGCACTTGGGCCGTGCCCACAGCCCTGGGCAGCTGCTCCATGCCCACCGCCCTCTGGCGCAGAGCCTATTCCCAATTTCCAGCCTGAGGTGGTCCGTTAGGAAATGGCACGTTGCAGATTTATTCTGGAGTCTCTGGCATAGAGAAAAAGACAGCTATTAATCTTTGATTGAACTAATGATTTCTATGCCTTAGGGTGTGTGAAAAATGGCTTTGCCAGAAGTGATAAGAGGGGACTGCTTGGCAGTAAGTCTTGGATGCCAAGAAGGTGTCTCCTACCCATGAGTCACATTTGTGCACAGGTTTATATCAGCTAACTCTGCTTTTTGGAGCCCTGCTAGAGATATCGTGATCCATTTTGTTAAAATCTGAAATTAGAGAAAAAAAATTACGAAATGTAATATATTTCCAGTTGTGTTTTCTCTTTGGAAATATCTATTGCATGATTGCCTTCTGACTGAATTTTGAGACCTGCCTTTTTTTATTTCTGTCTCTTTTGAGAAGGCTACATTAAGTTGCAGGGCTTGAGGTGTCTTTTTTTCTTTTTTTTTTTCCCCCACGTTTAGCATTGCTTCCCAGTGAATTGGTATCAAACCAGATGAGGGACACTGATTCTGCTGTTAGTCTTAGACATAATGTAACCTTTATCAGAGAGTTAATTACTGATTGCAGTGTGAAGCTCAAAACAAGTGAATATTATTAACTGGTATTTTACATTTTTCAGCTATCAAATTGGATTTGTGCTTATGCTTTCAATGAAGCACTGAAAGATTTTGTTTAAATTGCTTTTTAAGTAGCTGAATACTTGTAGAGTTGGGCTTTTCTGGGGCCTTTTGTGGGTGTCTAAAAATTAATAATCACAGAAATTTTTAAAATAGCTGGCTGGTTTATTTCTAGCATGCTTTCTTTTGCAGATGGTTTTTGAAAGCATTCTGCTTTGAAAACCTTCACACAGATTTAGAATGGCTTTGAAAAAGTTTTCAAGGTGGCAGAATAGAAAGCGTGTGACATGACTACTTAATCTGTGGCTGGGGCCAAGGGTTCTTTTTACATAATCCCATCATTCTTAAAATTTGTTAATGCAATCTACCTACAGACTGATCAGCAACTGCAAAATAATATTAATAATAATAAATGAAAAAGCAGTTAACCAACGCCCTATAATTCAGGGCAGTAGTATACAGAAGTTCAATGGGTTTATTTAGACTATCTTAGAAGTCTTTTCTCACCTTGATGATGCAATAGAATCATTATTACAGCTTTGCTATTTGTAAATTTAAATGTATTCTTCATTTTTTCATTTGTTTTGGTTATTGTTACAGATACAGCATTCACGTTCCTTCTGCTAACTTTTCCCTACTGGTGGGATAAACAGAATCATTGAAGGACTACAGAATCAGAATATATATTTCTTTAAAGAGGGTGTTGTTTCTGCTATTTCATCCAAACAAAATGAACAATTATTTTCTAATAGAATTATGACCATAAGCCAAAATGTAGAATGCCTCATTTTACTGATTTGTACATCCGAGTTCCCCATACTTGTGTTTAATAAATGTTTGTTTTGGTACCAAAGTGCACATTGCAGTTTTTACCACCCTTCATTCCTAACTTTAATAAAAGCTTGTTTTGCCTTTTTTTTTTTTCCTGTAAATCTCACGCAAACATTTTGAAAATTGTCAAAAGAAATCCACCGTAGCCTTAAAAATCAATTCTGCAAAGGTGATTGAGTTTGTGCTTTTCTTTTAAAGATCAAACTTCCTGTAATACTTCCCATATAATCCCTGTGTAGTTAAATAGCCCAGCAGTCATAACATGCTTGAAATGTATGCAAAGCATTGGCCCAAAGTTTAACTCTTAATAACAGAAGGATCAAAGGACATGATTCCTTTTAAATAAAACATGATACAGACATAAATGTTAGTCTGAGTGAAGGCTTTGAAAGCATGCATTTTGGATATTTTATATGTAGATTAAAATCAGTTTGCCTTGTCTCGGACAGAGAAAGAAATCTCGCACACCTTCGTCATTCTGAAACCAATGCTGTCATCTCAGTTTGTGCACTGATTTATGGCTCTGATGGAGGATGATGGCTCTCAGGGAGGCAATCTGTGGTATGCTTCTTGCTTCCTTGTGTACAAAAATAAAGCGTGCGTGTTCAGAAATGTGCTTTGATGTCTTAAAAAAAGACACTGGTAACAGAACAATCTTGTACATTTGTAACTTGCCGTGTAACTTGGAATTATTAAGTAAACATTCTTTGAAAGTAACTGTGTTGCTGTAGGGTACTGAAAATAATGGGAGCTGCAATATCCTAGTCATAATTTGAGTGAATTATGAAGACAGGTCAGTGGCTTTTTTTCTGTCCTGAAATTTGTCTTTAAAAAGCCAGTTGTGTGGTCTTACGCAGCTGACTTCTGCTCTTCAGAGCCTCCCACTGGGATGAACCAAATCACAGAAGTGTTTGAAGAAGCTGCCTGGCACCAGTGTCCTTTTGTGGTTCAATTTAAAAGGGGGATGCTGTGTTTATAGCAAATTTATGTCCGCTTTTCCCAAGCTATTGTTCTGAAATGTCAAATTATAAAATAACCTCTGCTGTGGTGAAGTGTATTTTGTCTCAGTTCTTAAAGATTTTACATCTGAAAGTTTTCCCTGTCATTAAATATAATATCTTTACTTTCACATGCTAATGCACTGCACCATTTATGCTTTAGTGTTTCAATTAAGTACTTGCTATCCAACATTTAAAAAGAACACTTTAATTGTTGAGGACAGGAACAAATTCACACAGCATGTATGTTAACTGTAGTGTTGAATCATAGAATCATAGAATGACCTGGCCTGAAAAGGCCCTCGAAGTTCATCTAGTTTCAATCCCCCTGCTATGTGCAGGGTCACTACCCACCAGACCAGGCTGCCCAGAGACACAGCCTGGCCTTGAACGCCTTCAGAGATGGGGCATCCACAACCTCCTTGGGCAACCTGTTCCAGTGTGTCATCAGCCTCTGTGTTGCTGACATGCAAAATATGTTTTTCTCTATTTTACAGAAGAATACACTGTATGTGCAATGTGTTTGATTGCTAGGTTTTGTAGCTCTTGTTCCACCAGAGCACACTCTATTAGCCTTATAAATAGGGATGGTATGGGAAGAGATCTAACAATGTCCACATGCAAAATATTTGCAAGGAGGGGAGAAGTGGATGAGAACTGTTGGAGTTCTTCATATGACGTGATGCTCTGTTTTTATACATTTGCAAGGAGATGGTCTTGTCTGTCAGGCACATGACTCTGATTCTAACTTTATTTTTTAATTTTCTGAGCTGAAACTTTGATGTTCAGTCTTCCTTATGTAGTAACAATCATACTTCACTGCTGTTTAACTTAGCTTCCTATTCTTCAGGGTCAAGGACACTACTTGTGATTTTTATTACTGTGTGTATTACTATGTGATTACTATGTGATTTTTAATTTTCTCCCTCAGTTGCAGAACACCACCACATCACCGTCATCTGTTGGCGTGCTTGCAGCAGGGAGGTGCCTTGGCTGCTCCAGCCCTGCCCCATTTCTGGAGCTGGCAGCCACCCAGCTTGCAGGTGATTTCTGTAACTGGGATCCAGGGCTCAGAAAGCCCTTAGAGATACATGCGTGAGGAGGGGCCTTGTTACTTCTTAGTGGATCTCTTATGATCAGATGAAAGCTTGGCTCAGCAGCCCCTGGGAGGCTTTTTCCCTTGTTTTATAACCATAATTTTCTCTCTCAGGGCTGTTACAGGAATAGATTTTATATTCCTGTTCATAAATTTGGAGAAACTGAAAATGGCAAGAGACCTTCAGTCATAGATGAAGAAGCATATTGTGCAACTAATTGCTTGAGGAGTTGAATTAATAAAATGGAAACACATTGCAGTGTTTCTGATATGCGGGATTTGCCTGCATCTTCTGTGTGCTGCTGGTGGGCCGAGTTCAGCTCCCTTTCATGGGACAAGGGCAGGGATCAAAGCAGGGCCTGCAGGGCCTGTAAAATCTGTTATCCTGCAGCAATTGAAACCACGAGCATGGGAACATCGTAGTTAAGTCTCACTCATCAGCTGCATGAGCAAATTTTCCCATGTTCTGCATGCAAGAGTTGCAGAGGAGTTCCTGAAGAATCATAGAATAGAATCATTTGAGTTGGAGGGGACCCTTAAAGGTCATGTAGCCCAACCGCCCTGCATTAACTGCAGTGAATATCTGCGAACACAGAACCCATGAGGTACAAAACCCACAGAGTTGTACAGCTCCAAATCATTGCTTGCAAGGAGTATGTTCATTATATTGCTGTTCATGAAGTTCAGTCTTGTTTGGAGTTTAAAAATATGAATCTTTCAAGCAGAATATTGCACTCATTTGATGTTCTTTTTAATAAATCATGCAATTATCAATTAGCTACACTAATTGAATAATGGGAGATTAATTCATTGTTCATTCTTAGGTCTTTTGAAGCTGTTCAAACACTCTAGGTTTCTTAGTATTACTTCTAGTAATGGAAACTAAATTAGTCCCAGAAACACCCACCAATTTAGCATGTTATAGGTAAAACATACAAAAAAGAGAGATTCAGTGTTTAGCGTAACAGACGAATATAAATTTACCTTCTTTTAGCCTTGGTGAAGGGCATTCTCCTTAGCATCTTGGCACAGTATGTTCCAGTTTTCCAGCAGGGAAAAAAAGGTGAAGTGACTTTTCTTCAGCTACCAATGACTGCCCACTTGGAGCAGTATGAAACTTCAGGTCACTCCAGGTAAATGTCTGTGAACCAACATCAGCTGGGTTTAACTTCACCTTCCTCACGAAGTGGAGCAGAATAATGCTTCACAATGAGGCCACTAAAACTTGGGTTATTCCAACAACACCTACATCATTCCCATATCTAAATGAATTACTATATCACGAATTATTTTAATCTGAGTTATAATCAGCCCATCCTGTTATATTTAGAATATCCATAGAATAAGCTTTTATGGTGCTGATTAGGCTGTGCTGTTATCTGACATACGCTGTTTTCTTTTCCCACTGCCTTTTCAGGCTGTTTTCTTCCCCAAAATACTTCTCACTAGCTGTTTTTGGACTAACAAGTTAAATATCTGATTCACTTTGAACATAGCTAGTGTCTTAAAATAACATTACCTGGGAATTGGATATATTCTTTCTCTTATTTAAAAAATAATAATTATAAGTAGTAACTCAAGATACAGTTCTATGAATTTCAGGCTTGTTTTCCTCACCAGCCGAAGAAGGCTGGAGGAATAGCTGTTGAATTTCTGTTGTTTTCAGCATCTGCAATTGGAAATGGAAGTGAAGGCACTTCTATGTGCTCTGTTTGAAAACACACACATTTAAAAAAAAAAAAAACAAAAAAAAAAAACAAAAAAACTATGCAGATAAAGTGTTTTGTGTACAGAAAGTTGAGGAAAAACTTTAGAAAATGATAGGCTAGATCCCTTAGTTTCCTGAGTAGGAAGATGTGTAAAGAATGAGCATAGCACAGGGCCTGGGTGTTCTGAAGGGTTGTTCAGATAATGTGTAATTTGAAACCATTGCATTTGTATTCTCAGAGAAATCCAGAGGTAATCAGAACTTCTATTACAATGAGTTTTGTTATATGTATTAGAGAAAAGGAGTAAGAGCCCTTAAAAGCTCTTTGAAGTTTTGCTTGCACGCAGCATAGCACCATAATAGCCATCAGGTGTAATCTGGACGAAAGGGACTTTGATCTTCTTGTCTTGCTGGAGCGGGCCACATTTTGAGGCAAGATTCCAGCAAACAGATGCACAGATTGGGGATTAGCTTCAGATTTACCTTCAGTTCGTGCTTTCTTACTTCATTTTGTGCCTTGTAATCGTGTTGCTAGTTTTGTTACTGAAGATTTAACTCTTTGCTAAAATAACATTCATGCTTTTCTGCCTTTTTTGCACAGCAATTTAGTAACAAAATTGTTCTTAGAGGAGCATAATGCATCAGTGGTGATGTATCAGAGTCTCTTCAGAGTAGAAATGTTGCTGTAGCTGCCTGACCCACTGTTTATCTGCTAAGTGCTGTATTCAGAACTCAGGAAACTGATATTCACATTCTCAGTAATCATGCTTGTGATTGAATCTGTCACAAACTGACTGTTGTTATTCTTCTGCGGAGTGAATTTTCCTTTTCCAGTGTGTGAGAAACATTTGCTTTCCTTTTTTTCTGCCTTAAAATATTTGAGTAATGAGCTGCCAGCTGTCGTACGTTATGTACTCTCCTACATCAAGAGTTCCCGGAATTCGTACCAAGAGAAATTCAGATGCTGGTGGCCTCAGGAGGAGCTTCTGGTTTTGTCCTGCCTTTCAAACTCAAGTGCTGTGCTTACCTGGATCAGCTGATGACTGGTAGCTGCTCACTTGCACAAAGCTCAATCTGTGCACTTCACATTGTCCCGCAGCAGCTTGTGCTGCTCAGGTTGGGCCCTTCAGTGCCTTCGGATAAAGTTATTTGAAATAAAATATGAAAGCTGTATTATTGTGGCTTGTTTAATGTGTTAAAATAGTTGAGCATTGGCTACATTTTAAATAGCAAAAGATGGGATACGGCACCATTGCTGTATGTTCTACTCAGGAGTAAAAGCACCTATTTATCATGCAGAAACACTGACACATTCATGTCTATCTCCTATGACCATGAAGAAAGTCTCTAAATATAAGCATAAGCACCTTATCTTTCATTTTCTAGATTTTCTGAAACCATAAATCCGCAGGAATGGTTGCTCTCTTTTAGCCATTTAAATGAAGTGCTGGATGCTGAAAACATGAGTGTGGGTGATAACTATGTGGCTGCTGATCAAAGCAGCTACAAAGGGGGCGAGCCATCTAATGACCCAGGTGATTTTTATTAAAGAGTCCCCAGGAGCCCTAGGCTTAATCATGCAAGATAATTGTACTTTGAACACATGTAAACTCACCCCGTGTTGTCCATTCTGACAACACAACAGATGTGCCCAGTGGCTTGTGAAAGAGGTGAGCAAAGGACCCGACTTGATGATCCAGGAGGTCCTTTCCAGTCCTACTTTTTTTGTGTTTCTATCTCGTGTTAAATTTTTCTCGTTTCTCTCCATTTGGTAGAAGTGCCCCAAAGGTAAGACTTTTTTTTCCTCTAACCATGTTCCTTTGGTTCCTTGTGAGTTTTTGTTTTTTTAAGGCAGAGGTGTACTTGCTACTCATTATGTAAAGGAGATTCTCTCCATTGTAACATTTTAGTGGTCTGTGGAAAAGAAGTTAAATATATCAAACGTGTCAACCTGAGTTCTCTCCCTTTGGAGAAAGGCATAAACTTCTGCATTATGTACATTTCGTCAGGTTTTAAAATCTGAAAACGCTTCGTCATTATCCAAGATGAGCTGAAAAGGAAATAGGCTGTTTTTTGGTAACCATTGTGGTCCATTGTAGTGCATGTTTGGCAATGAAAACACACTTCTGTACCTTGATGAAATTGTGTAGGAGGGTTGGTAGAGAACAGTGTCTCTACCATGAGACATTTCAAAGCCAGCACTTCTGCTTTCAACACCATCCTATCTGAAGCAGCTTATTCCTTACCAAATAAGCTGGAATTACATCTGTTCTGGTGGTAGGATAGATGTAACAGCAGAATGTTGTCGCTGCTTTCACAGATAGCATAGGAGCACTCTCACTAACTAGACCAGAAGCATCCCTGAGCTCAACCATACGTGAAGCTCAGAATCCATACAGCTCATCCATACTTCAGAAACAACAGTGTGGGGCAGCTCGTGTCCCCCCAGCTCCCGTGGCTTCTGCCAGTGCTGAGACAAGGCTCTGTCCAGCTGAATGTCCAATAGCTGTCTGTCTGTCTATCCGTAGTCCTAATTCCATCCATTGCCCAGG